TTTCCCTGATCAGAACCACTTTGGTCGCATCTTCTATAACCAAGCCCGCATGAGCTCGGAGGGTATTCCCCAGATCGCTGTGGTCATGGGTCCTTGCACAGCAGGTGGCGCCTACGTCCCAGCAATGAGTGACGAGAGCATTATCGTCCAAGAGCAGGGTCACATCTTCCTCGCCGGTCCTCCCCTTGTCAAGGCTGCGACAGGAGAGGTTGTCAGCCACGAAGACTTGGGAGGCGGCAAGATGCACTCTTCTGTGTCTGGTGTTACAGACTACCTGGCTGTGGACGACGCACATGCTGTCGTATTGGCTCGTCGCTGCATTAGCAACCTCAACTGGCCCAAGAAGTCACCAGAGACTCAAGCCCCCAAGCCTGCCTTCTCAGAACCTCTCCACGATCCCGAGGAGCTCCTTGGCATTGCTACCACCAACCTGCGAAAGCCTCTGCCTATTCGCGAAGTCATTGCTCGTGTTGTGGATGGCTCTGAGTTCTCCGAGTTCAAGCGCGACTTCGGCACTACACTCGTGACTGGCTTCGCCGAGATCTACGGCCACAAGGTTGGCATCGTAGCCAATGACGGTATTCTCTTTGCCTCGTCCGCTGTCAAGGGCGCTCACTTCATTGAGCTCTGCTCTCAGCGCGGCATCCCACTGGTATTCCTACAGAACATTTCCGGATTCATGGTAGGATCACAGTCCGAGCGTGACGGTATCGCAAAGCACGGTGCCAAGCTAGTCACCGCTGTTGCATGTGCTGATGTACCCAAATTCACCGTCATCGTTGGTGGCAGCTACGGCGCCGGAAACTACGGAATGTGCGGACGAGCTTACAGTCCAAGATTCTTGTGGATGTGGCCCAACGCCAAGGTTGGTGTTATGGGTAGCGAGCAATTGGCTGCTGTAATGGAGACTGTCGGCAAGACTGTCGATGGTGGGCTAAAGGAGCGTATTGAGAAGGAGAGCGATGCCATATTCTCCTCTGCTCGATTATGGGTAAGTCACATCTTCATGACTCTTTGTGGATGAATCAAGGCTAACATTTTGGTAGGACGATGGCATTATCCCTCCTCAACATACAAGACGATACCTGGGTCTGGGTCTGCAGGCTGCTATGGGAGGTAGAAACGAGGTCAAGGCCGGTGATACCAGATTTGGCGTCTTCCGAATGTAATGACTTGCATGCAGTAAAATATGTTAATTTATTAGAACCACCTACTGAAGTTTATGTTGACATGTGGGTTGGGAAAGAGTTGGGAAAGGCAGGGCATTGCATAGGGCTTTGTGAACAAGTCAATAGCTCAGTATGTCTTGTCCGGTGCATCCCTTTACTCATAAGCTTACACGACATACACGTAAGTCATATATATAGATCTTCTAGGCTGGAATACTCGAGTGTACGCCCCATCTCTGAATGGAACTAATACCCACTGGCCAACGCATGCATAACTGTTGGACATTGGAATGTAGATGCACCTAGTGTTAAGATGTTATTCTATGATTCTCGCTCCTTTATGTGGCTTCACAAGTTATGTTATTCTAATCGCTTTGTCGACCAGGCTCACTAGTAGGACATGACCACATTTTAGATTTGCAATGAGGTATTCTGATAGTGAATGTCACGCCCGTAGAGTACCAGAATTGTGTAAAAAGAGGCCTTTGGATGTAATATCACAAGAAATTGTATATTCTGTGTACTGAATATGCTAATCTCTCGTTGTTAGGTATTAACAAATAAGTTCAACTTTGTGACGGTAGGATTAGCTTACCCTAGAGATACATGGAACACGCGGGTTATGGAAAGTCAATAAATGATCGACACTTGACAAAGATCCATCCCACCCTGGCGAACTGATGACGTTGGAGGGCCCTCCACCGATAAACTTGAAACACGCCAAGGAATGACGATGGAACCCAACTAAAGTGATAACATGCAGGTCTGATTTGTCTGGACCCGACGCCCGGACATTGATCAATTGTGTATGTACAGCCATTCATGGCTGTTTGCTTTTGATCATGTGAAGCTTCGGGTCCAAACAAACAGTGATTACTTATGTTTAATAAATGCCATCTTGTTGGCCAAAAGCAACTGTCACACAACGGGAAATACTTTCCTTTACGCCAGGGCACGGAATCGATCGAATCCAGATCTTGAAGGGTGAAACACCACGTCGACTCAAATGTAGCCGACACAAGTCAACTTCCAGGGCCCCTTGTGAGTTATCGTAAGATGCAGACACGATAACAGTTGAAGCGTCGCATATGCTAGTAACTCTGTTAGATGCTCCGACGGTTCCGAGCGAATTCTGTATCAGAGTTAAGAAGCGCAGGCTAAACTCACAAAATGTCATGAGATTCAGGCTCAAGTTGGCGGACGGACTGTTGGTAATATGAAGAAATTAAAGGCCATGAACTCAATTGATATGAAATCGCGCATGACCGTGGCTAGTGCATCAAACAAATTGAATCTCATCAAGCACCAAACGACGGACGCTACTCAATGTGATCGTCTAATGTCCGAGGCAGAAGCCTTACCGTGCACTAATGGGGTAGTCTATCTAATCGAGCCCACACGAGTTAGCTTGATATGTAGCGTGACTTCGGCTGTTTATTTCGGGTGTGTCAATTGACATTCATCAAATTATCGTGAACATTTGTTCAGCTTCTCGGTGCAAGGCTGAGCGCAAAAAGCTTGGCCTGTCAAGGCGGAGGAAACAAATAAGATTACCTCCGAACTGATGGAGTCAAATTAAATTGCTCTCGACAGAATGAAAGAAAATAAAGATTGATAAAAGTATGGAGCGCATTCTAAGACATCCAAGGGCCCTAGAAGAGGAGCGTGAACCCTGGAAATTATCTGACAAAAGATGGATCTCGTCTTGTGTTGGTCTTGGTGTTGGTGTTGAGAGAGACAGACATTGATTGACTGACTTTGAGAGAGCTCAAAAAGTCAAAAAGGTGGCTTGCACTCTGTGACTAGGGCCCGAGCTGCAGGAACAGAGCACGCTAGTGTTTCTGCTAAACTTGAGGAGCTACCTAGTACCTAGGTAGGCTGTTGCAAGGGATCCTCCCCTAATTCACCTTAGGTTAGCAGCTTGGCTGGGCTTGGCTTCTAGGGGTTTTCGACATCGATACCCTAGCATGATTGGTGGGACTTACACTTCAGACGGATGAGTAGCCAGTGGGAGAACAGTGGCTTGTCTCCCGTGCATTTATGGGGAAAAACGGCCAACGGCCAGATGCGCCCCTTTGAGAGGTCATGACCGCTGCCCCTTCATCTCTGACTCTCTATCGTCTCTGTTCGTATTGCGCTCCGTGTGAGTGAATCTGATTCTTGAATGGCGTTTGTGAAAGTGAGCAGGGTGGTCCCATGTTGGAATAACGACGATCCTGCAGCAAGATGCTAAGTATCGTGATGGGGCTTGCTCACCCGTAATAACTGGATCAGTCGAGTGGGTGTTTGTGTTGTGTTGTCTCTGTGCCTCTCCCGTGCTCCCGTCTGGGTGTTCCATTGTGGAATAGCCCTGTTTCGCAGGTGAGTGAAGTTCGGGTGTTGCTCAACTCCAACCTAGGGTCCCCCGAAAGCCTCACCAATCTACTAATGTACCCGGGGCTTGGGTCGTCCTTTCAGTTCCATTTTCTCTCTTCTCCCCTCGCTTCGCCTCGCTTTTCTTCCTCCTCTCCAACCTCACCCGCACTCTTTGTGCCTATTGTACTGTACTGGTACCTACAAGCCTGCTTCGACCCAAGCTGTCGTAGGCTGCGCCTCGTTACATTCATTCGTTACTACTTTGATTTTTCTCCAACTGTGCTTCTATTGTGCACCTTTTTTTTTCACAACTCTTCTCTTTTACTATTCCTTTTTTTAACGGGTCTGTCTAGAAGATAATCAGATCAACTCTTTTCTTCTTAACTCTTCTTTTTGCTTTGATATTTTGACAATTAAATAAGGGGCCACAAAGAGATAATCAGGTTCAAGGAAAGAAGCAAGAGCAAGAGCTGGGAAATCAAACGCCTCACCACGCCTTCCTCCTCAACAAACAATTGGTGCCTCATCGATCTGGCTTTAGCTTCTATCCTTCTATAGGATCTCCTTTCACCACTCACAACCATTATCGTCTCATCACCTGGAGCATCCTCAAACCATCGAGACGCAACTTTGAAACGCGATTCGTCCAGAGCCATCTCCTCGGTGACACGCCGCCTCGTCTCACGACGTCGGCATCGACTTTGGCCTTTGCCCACTGGTTCTCGATTCCGACTCGAGTTTCGTCCCCATCTGCTGTGCTGCTCTACTACGGAACCGATCCCTTCCATCCTTTTAGTCGTTGATTGCGAGCCCCTGTGACGTTGACTTGATTTGTCGCGCCCAAATGATCTCATGAAGTCGTGACCTTCTTTCGCTTCTTCGGTATGTTTTCCCTTTCGTTGTTACCAAATCTTGAGATGGCCTGGACGTCATCTTGATTGTTTCACTTCAATCTTTCGCATCTTCCTCCACCCATATCCCCTTGTAATACTAACACTTTCTCTTCAGACTATTTCTCATTTGCATTGCTTGCAGCGCCTGCGAGGTCTGGATTACCGTGCAACAATCTCTCATTTTTGGGTCGATCCGTCTTATTTTCTCTCACGTTCTCTTCTATCCAAGTTTTCATCTTGCCTATTTTTACTTCGCTTCTCACATTTCTCGTAACCTCGACGTAGCCTGTGGCTGTACGACCCGATCGAGTCCAAAAGAGGTCAGCTTTTTATGTTGCAGCACCCAAACAATTCGCACACAGACTGCTTTGTCCATATACGAACGCCGTGTCAGTGCTTCCCCACAAGGTCGACTCAAGCGCTGCAGGTCATCGGATACTGGCATCATTTCATCACTTCGGTTCTTCGCAACTTCTCGGCTTCCTACATACAGTTGAACTGCATACAGGGGCTCGCTACCGGATTCCTAACCGTGTTACGCTGTTGGTTTGGATGAACTCGTGACTTGGCAGAAAGGAACCAAATGAGTCAGATGTATGATGGAAGAGGGATGGACTCAGCACCCGCATCTGGATCTGTAAGGAGAGCACGCGAGATGGCCCAAGGTGGATATCCGCGACAGCAGCCTCTATACCCAGACAACATGAACGACAGCCCGCCTGGCGAACTGAGGGCTCCTCCTCGTCGACCCATGGGAGGACACCCCTCCGCGCAGTCGAGGCTTCCGAAACCCAAGGCTGCGCCTGCCATTGATTATAGAAGTGGAAATTCTGGTGTTGCCATATCTCGACCACAGCAAGTTCCACAATGGCCTCTACCGGGCCCTCCGATGGCCGCTATGAATTCGCCCGACCCCGAACCATATCGACCACCACCCGGTCGACCGACTCAGGCCCCTCAACGACCACCCAGACCCAGCCAAGTTCCTTCTTTGCTGGATCAGTCTCGACTCCAAGAACCGACCCCGGTGTTTCTCACACCGGAGTCTGACGACTATCACTCTTCTGTTCCGCCTTCCCCATCCTCCCGAATGACCACCTCTAGTCTTGGATCGCTCCCTGACTTCCCTGAGCCCAATCAATCGACGGCTACGGATTCTAATAGAAGAAGTGTCAATCTGGGGCCCCCAAGAGCGAGCGCTAATCTAGGACCTCCCCCGTCATCTCGCAGGGGCGCATCATCCTTCTACTCACACGCTTCTTTTGTCTCGCCGATTCCCGAAGAGAGTCTCAATTCGAGATCGCACGGCTCTTACGCCTCAAGTGCGGCTATGCCTGAAAGTTGGCCAGCAGGTTCTCGGGCTGTCAGTCCCTCGTATTACGACGAGACAGACAACAAGAGTCAGGATTCCGCGTATGATGAGTTCCATGATGAGAGCAAACTGGTCCGCAGTGCAAGCATCGGCAAGAGAGGAAAGCCCTCAATTGTTACTACCAAATCATTCATTATGGAGCCCAATCACCGACCTGCACCATCACCGGTTCAGCCTTTCGACTCGGGAACCGGCTATATTGATGCTTCAACAAGCTCTTCTAACACCCTTCCTCTGGCGAAGACGTCGGCACCTTCGCAAAACCCTCATGACAGCCTTAGCCCCGACGCTATCTTGGGTGCATATGCTGCTGCCAGCGCCACCAACTTGTCAGAAGTACCAGTGCCGGCGCCAACGCCTTCACCTCAGCCTTATAGTCGACTTTCGGCTATTCGACGACCCCCAAAGCTGGACATTGAAGCAGTGAGAAGGGCAGAGGAGAGGGGCAGTATCACCAGCTTGCCTGATCTGATTCGACGTGCAACTCGCCTTGCGACCATGATTGATTCTGGCAAGAGACCAGCGAGCCGATTCGACAACTTGAATGATTTCTTTGACGACAAGGGGCAGACTCGAGGGGGTGACAAAGAAAACTCAGGTAAGAAGATCTGCTTTAGGATATGATGTTTTGATGAACTCACCTGTCCTAGGACTATCGGATATGCTGGCAGCATTCCCTCCTCCCGCACAACAACCAGAGCGACAGAACCGTGGATCCTGGTTTCGGACGACATCTTGGCCCCTGGCCCCCACCCGCCAGGGTGATGCTCCTTCACGATCTGGCCTTCGCGAGATGACGCCTTCGGATGAAGGCCGGGGCAAGCGACGTCGGCGCTGCTGCGGTCTGCCTGTGTGGGCGTTTGTCCTCTTACTACTGCTACTTGTTGGTATAATTCTGGCCGCTGTCCTTGTACCATTGGAATTTTTCGTCTTTAAGAACTTGGGCAATGATGAAAAGCCAAAGTCTGCCCTTGCTCAATGCCAAGAATCATTAAAGTGCCAGAACGGTGGAACAAACATCATGTCGCAGGGTACATGCTCATGCATTTGCACAAATGGTTTTACAGGCTCCGACTGTAGCGCAGGTGGCTCCGATGGTTGCACGACTACAGACTTAGGCAACGATCTGAACAACGTGACGCTTGGTAAAAGTATTCCACGCCTTATCGAGAACAGCCAGAAAAACTTTTCTGTCCCTCTATCTGGCACTGCCATCATGGCGAAGATCAATGCTGCAGAGCTGTCCTGTATTGCACAGAACTCCCTGGTTACTTTTGATGGCGCTGCAGCACGCAAAAGGACTTTGCTCGACAGCCTGGCTCTCCAGTTCAAGCGAGAGGCCGCTGCACCGACTCTCATTGCCCGTGCACCTGAAACTGCCCCTGCCGTCGTCGTATCGTCCGAAACCGCCGCGCCAACTACACTGGTGGTTGACGAGGGAAGCCCCGAAAACGCGCCAACCTCAACAAGCGAAGGTGGCAATGCTGCACAAACCTCAGCGGCAGCAGACCCATCGCAGACACAGGACCCGATGACCAAGTTCAAGATCACAAACGAGGTCCTCGACTTTGCGCGTATTGCCGTCCTCTATGTGTTACAGGAGGAGGACGTGGAGAGTGCTGAGGACGCTCAATCTAGCCTTGCACAATTCTTTGCCAAGGCTCGTAAAGAAGCAGGCGTTTTGGTAAAAGAGGCAGCTAATGTCAGTATTGGCGACAAGGAATCGGTTGACTTGTTGAGGTACAAGATCAGTATCGGATCCAAGACAATAGGAGGAAACGTGAAGCGCCATGTGTTATCTCCAATGGCTGCTCTCACCCACCCGTCTCTTCGGCATAGAGCAGTCCATGGGCCAAGGTGAAGCAGAGCAGCGAGGTTCAGATGATCCAGGAGTCAAGAGTAGACACTGTATATAAGGCATGAACATAGGTAAATATGCATTTCGCAATGATGGCGTCGGTCTAGTGCTTTCGTTTCGTTGTTTGCTTCAGTTCAGCTTCACCAGGGCCGGGCCATGGATGGTAATGAGTGCGGAATAAGTAACGGGACAGATGAAGAAGACGGAGAAAGAAAAGAAGGAAAGGAGGAAGAATTTTGCATAGGCATTTCGGAGGCGCCCTTTTCATTTTATCCTTCTATTCTAACCCCCCCTTTTACAATATGTAACACTCGCGAGCGAGATTAGCAAGGGCGTTGTACCAAAAGATAGAGGCCTCAGGACTTGATACTCGATGCCATGAATCGTAAGTTTAGATCATTAGCTCTTTATGAGTAAGGGGTGTCTGTGGCTTTTCTTTATACCATTCCTGAATTTTATGTTGCATTATTCACCTTAAGGCTGGTAGAAGACCTCCTCAACTGGCTTCCACCAAGAAGGCTCGCCGGCCTCGGAGCTCACTGCACCAGGCACGAGACTCTCCTGCCAGGCATCTGTCATCTTCCACCATTCTCTCACACGAGGGTTCTTTGCCATCTTTTCCATGTCGCCACTGTAATCCGAGCCGATGTATTTGAACGAGGCGAAGAGAATGTGGCTCTGGTCATCGTAGAAAATGCTGTCTATACAAGCGATCAGTCTCTATTACAATTGCCTTGTAGAAACACCTCAGGATAGGCCATACAGTCTCGAATATTGCACTCTTGGATCTGCTTGAGGACGTCGGGCCAGACTCTGGCGTGAACTTCCTTGTACTCAGCAAGGTGCTGAGGCCTCAGTTTGACGATCTGAGCGAATCGGCGAGCTGTTTGTGACATGTTGTGTTTTATAAGTGGCGGACTGTACTGTGCGTATTGTTGGTGAGAGTAAGAGTGACAGTGACAGTGACAGTGACAGTGAGAGTAACAGTAGTAAAGTAGGACAGAATAGGATCAAAGTAGTCTAGCAGCTACAGACTTTTAGAACCGACTCCAGATTGGATGGATTGGGAACAAGTAGTTAGTTATATAGCTATACTCGGGTGTCGGGCTAGAATATAGCGAGTCGAAACCCCGCATACAACATGACCTTTCTACCCACAGTTGATGACTTTGGATCGCGAATGCTCCCCCAAAGTGGAAGCTAACTTATTTAGAGTGTGAGCGGATAATGCCCATTCAGGGTCCACAGCCTGTGTGGGGGATGTAGACTTTGGGTGGCACTACTATTTCATGATTGGCGATCTTGGTCTCATATAGTGAATGCATCAAATACCCACATAGTATATCCGACACGAGTTTATGAAGTTCAAGTAATTCATCGACGTATTTCAAGTTTAGCCAACAGTGCCTAGACCATCCATAACCTGATAGACACCGCTGAATCTTTAAAGAAAGGACAATTGCAATTCCAAATCGTTACCAAAGAAAGCCACGCCAAGTCTGATGCGTACGTAGCAATCCAGTTCATAAGACATAATCCCATCCACCATACTCATAACGCCTATCCCGAGCCCGGATCCTTTAAAAACATACAATCTTTGGTATTAATAACACGCCTGCCGTAGAAGGCTGTGTTGGTAGTGGGCGTTCCCCTTTTCTATCAACCACGGCTAAAATGCGGGCAAGTACAGAGTCTCAGAAATCGACTTCTAGTTGCGTGGCTCGTACTGGGGAAGAGCCTCCTCGTCGACCATAAGACCGGACTTTTCGTCTTCAGCAAGCATTTCGGTGATGGCGGCCTTGTGAGTAGCACCAGGGGCAAGCTCAGGCTCGGAGTCGGCAGATTCGCCCTTGAACATGCGGATCACGCGGAGAACCATGGCACAAAGGAACATGGTGAAACTGATTATGTCAGTATGGTGCAAATGGAAGAATAGCAGGGAATTGACTTACAATGCAACTCCGACACCGGCAGCAACACCCATAAGGACAGGGATGATAATATATGCCGTGACGTGTGTAAAAACATCACTCCACGACTGCTCGGGGGCCTTGTTGACGAGAGGACCGTGCTTGAAGTTGTCGGTAGGCTTGTTCTCACCCTTACCATGACCGTGATGGGGCTTGCGACCGTGACCATGGCCCTTACCCTTACCCTTCATTCCGTGGCAGCCCTTACCCTTGAACTTGCTGACATTTTTCCAGGTATCGTGGACCATGCCCTTGGCGCGGCACCACATATCACAGTCCTCTGGTGCCTTCTCGCCATCACCCTTGACCTCGATGCTTCCGATGATGATCTCGCCAACAGGAGCCTTGATGAGCTTTACTGTGACAGGAGGGACGCCGTCGACAAAACGGTCGCCGACTTCGATGATCCTGACTTCGACGTTGACAACCTCGAGATGTTGATCCTTATCGACTCCTTCAGGACGAATAGCCAAGCCATATCCCAGTCGACGCATATCGCTCTTGCCATTGGCCTTGATAACAGCTGCTGACAGGTCTCCGTTCCAAGGGTCGGCGTGAGGATAGAGTTCGAAGCCGTTTAATACCAGACGACGGTCTTGAATGCCGAAATTGAGTTCGAGTTGGCTATCATGGCCGCGGCACTGGAGGCAAGGGACGTCTACGACTTGACCATAGGCGGTCTCGGGGATCTCAAAAGTGTCGACCTCGATGGGAAGAGTGCGGAAGATGCTGTCGTCCTTGTCAGAAGTCTCTGGGACGATGAGGACAGCAGCGGCGGTCGCTGCAAGGGCGAGCGGCTTGAAAAGCATGATGTGATGGAGTATTCGGTATGTGTGATTTGTGTATTGCGATGCTTAATTGACTGATTTGGCGATGATAACGATGATGGCGATGTTGTCGTCGTTGGTATCGTTTGTGTGGAATAAAGAAAGGATTAAAAGAGGGAAAGAATGAAGCGCAGCTGATGGTAACGTGCTCTACTCTCGAGGCGTCGGATGTCTCGGTGGCAAGAGAACCGCTTTGGGTAAAGTCCAAGTGTAAGAGGCATGAAATCTGGGGCCGGAAGGAACGACCCCTCCTGCCGATGACGACGATTTTAACTTCGGGTTTTCTTTCTTGCGCTAACATAATTGGCTCAGCTATTTCATGCACTGCCCTGCTTCTTGCCCACTTACCGTTCACCGTTGGTCAGAAAGAGGCAATCGCAGGTCCCAGGTACTAATTAGTCCTTACACAATTATTTACATCTTACAATTATTTATATCTTCAACGTAGGTATACCTTAGTAGTAGCTTACACTCCTAAGGCACCTCAGTAAGATACCCACCTACACTTTTGTGAACTGAATCAGTAGACTTGTCTTGCTTCATCACGTCTTTATTTAGGTGCTTATGTACCTATCTCTTGGCAATACGCGTACATGTACATGGTCGATTCGTAGTATCAGCCAAATATATAGATCCACTCACATGTCTCACATTCACTCACATCCATCCCTACCTGTTCCAAAGCACGCGACCAAAAGGCCCATACCAGATGAGTTCGTCCAAGAAAAACGATACTTATTATAATCTCGACATGATTAATAGCATGAACTATATAAGTCTCGTACACACATCCGTAACGTCTGTGTTTTCAACCAACTCATAGCAAGTCTCGCAATAAACCAAGGCTCCCTGCCCTGCCCTCACTGGCCCGGTCTGACCACTGTGATCCCTGACCGGACCCTAAAGTTGCCCGAAATACCGAAACCGAAATCGAAGCCAACAAACAGGGCTGAATTAGAGTAGAAATGAAGTCCAGACAAGGAAAACCAACATGTCCATAGAAAGAAATGAACACCCGATTTGCCATGCTTCATAATCAGGGAATGTTTTACAAACACATTCCAAATCGTGCCTTCTTCCTCCTGAGACTTAGTCCTCTGACTTCAGAGTCTGTCCACGCCAGAGACCTTCCAGCTTGTCTCTGACATTCTCCCACCGCGGGCGCCAGCTGATTCTCTTGCTCAGACCTCCATCGCCGTCGCCGTCATTTTCACCAGGGCCAAGCTCAGACGAGTTCTGATGACGATGGATTGGGGAGTCATTGCCCCATGGAAAGTTGGGATCCTCAGTCACCCTGTCTGTGGGTGTGGGATAGTCATCCCCAGTCGAGCCCAATTCTCCGTCAGTCTGCGCTTTTGTGACTGTCCGCAATGTTGTAAGCGGCTGGTAGGTGCGTGTTTCTGTATCTGACCTTCATTAGTTTGGTGATTTTACCCGTCAAGAATATCACAAACCTTTTACGCCAAATGTGTGAGTCATGTTCGACCAATGCACCGTGCTGCTTGTTGTGTTGCAGGCCGATGAGACGTTTTCTGTGGCTGTTACTGCCGACACGTAGGATAACGATAAGTCTGGTCCATTCGTTTCAGTCAAGCAATCGGTGCTAGCTGGAATCGCTGTAGGGGTTGGGGTGTCGTACACTGATTCCGTGCACGTCGATGAGCTAGTAGATGTAGATTCACATGGAGCAGCTGCTCCCGCCGAGCCAGTCAACAAGTATGTACCCATCGAAGTGTCAATCCCCGAAGATGTTCTCCCAGAAGCCTGTGATAGAGTTGAGTTACCTACCGAGATTGGTGCCAAGGCGGAACTCTCGAGGCTGGTCGATACCCCCTTTGCGCTACCAGTTGTCAAGAAAGTCGTCAGTGTTCCCGAGAGAGACGATGTAACGGTGGCCAATGAGATAGTCTCTGTGCTCGTGAAGCCAGCGACCCCGGAGGTTACGTTAGCCCATGTGGAAACAGATGAAGTTGTGACTGTAGCCCCAGATACTTGAGGTGTTGGGGGTTCTGCCAAAGTAGTTGTAAGAGTCAATGTTGTAGTACGAGTGTATGAGGTTGACAACGAAGCACCACCGCTTGAGCTGTTGAGGGCAGACGAGGACGCTCCTGGCCCTTCCATAGTCGTAGTGCGGAATATGGTTGTTGTACGAGTATATGAAATGGACTCTGAGGTTGCAATACTCCTGTTGCCATTGGTGGACGGGGAAGTGCTGGGCTCTTCCAAAGTGATTGTGAGGGTCAAAGTCGTGGTACGAGTATAAGAGGTTGACCCCGAGGTTGCACTGCTAAGGTTGTGAACAGAAGAGTGAGACATATTTGGCTCTCCTAAAGTAGAAGTCAAAGACTTGGTGGTAGTTCGAGTGTATGACGTCCGCTGTGAAATCTCGCTATTTACAGTCCACGTCGAGATACCTGGCTCATTCGTGAGGCTCAAAGTTGGCCAGCTCGTCCATGGCTCGGGATCTGGCCTCCATGAAGCGATTGTCGAGAGACTGGTGGTGCCCAGACTAGTTGAGTTGGAGACCGGGAAGAGTGGCTCGTTTGTGCCCGAAGCAGAGGCCGAAGTATCAGCCGTAGTACCAGCCACTGTGGTGTTTACAGTGAGATATGTTGTCCTGATCGATGGTGAAATGGTCATACTGGACGTTGAAAAGTCTCCCAAGGTTCCGGTAATGGTGAAGCGAGGTCCTGTACCACTCGGTGCAAAGGAAGTACCAGTTCCCGTCAATGTGGTGTTTGATGGAAGAGGGAAGGGGGCCGTGCTGGTCGATACCGTTGGGAGTGAAACACTCTCAGATGTCGTCAAGGAAGTCGGCATGATGATAGTGATTTTCACATCGGTGAACGTTTTACTATAGGTACTGTCTGATATAGTGGTGAGCGTAACGTTCAGCGAAGCGGGCGGCTGAGGAGTGGCGGCAGCTGTGTCACTCAAAGTTTGAGTTCCAGAAACCAAATCAGAGCCAGTGCGGGTAGTTGTTTGGACAGTTGAGTTTGTGAACCACTGAGCGCTGCGAGTCGTGTTCCACGACCCAGAGGCCCCTGCAGTAATTATGGACTGCGTCTGATCCGTATTACTTGAAGGATATGTTTCACTGGCCGTAACGGTAGTGGAGTTGGTATACGGAGTAGTGCTATTGAATCCAGCTGTGGTCAGAGAGAATGTAACATCACTGGCTTTGGGGCCGATGGTTTTGTCAGATTCAGAGAGTGACGCTGAAGATGTTTCTGACTGCCAAACTAAGCTTGTGTTGGTGGGAAAGGGGAAGTTGGTAGGCTGCTTGGATATGATAACGGTACTAATACCGAGAGAGGTCGGCCGAGAACTAAATGTGCTCTTGACGGATCCCACACTTTTAGAAAAGTTGTACCCACTAGTGGTATGGGCTACCGTGACATTGCCAGACGAGGATAGGCTTGTCGGTGTGAGACTGCTAGTGATGGTAGAAGTCATTGTTGTCTTGATCACCGTTACATTACCATGTGTTGAGCCATCTGATGGGCCTCGAGTTGACGTGGTAGACACACTGGGAGGCGTCATTGGCGTGGTAATGATCGAAAGCCAAGAGGTTGGGAAAGAAAGTGACGGGACCTCCAAAGTTGCTTCCGAAGTATGGGAAGTCGTCAGCGTCGAAGTCGGCCAGTCAAGCCAGGAGTCTGTCTGAGACGACAATGAAGTCCGTCTGATGGACATTGACGAATTGAAGCGCGAAGGGCTAGATGTAGAATACTGTGTAGAAACGGAGATGTTCATCATACTTGTAGCGCTCCCAGTTGGAATGATACCCCCGGGGAAGATTGTAATAACCGAGCCGTCTGACACAGTAGTCACAACGAAGGGCGAGGTGACTGAGTGAGAGGTCGCATTTATAGGCAGGGCTGTTGATGCAAAGAGAGTCTCTGAAGATGTTTGGTTAGACGTTGTAGCAATATTCGACTCGGAAACGTCAACGCTCGCGCTAGCCACGGAAGTCGGAACTGAAGAGAAAGGAGAGCTTGTTGCTGGTGAGGTGACATTGAGCGCAGTGTGTGTCTTGCTCGTGGTAACTGTGGTGGAAAGGGCAACAGTAATAGATGCCATGCTCGCCGACGAGTCTCCTGTTCCAGCCCCCGACGAGTCACCAGAAGCAACAATAGTAGGTCTTGAAATGCCAGATGAATTTGACAGAACAGAAGATGGGGCAGGAACTCCAATTGTTGTAGTGAAGTAGGCAGTAGTAGTAGTAGTAGTAGTGAAGCTTACTGTTCCATTGACAGGAATGCTCGAAGCACGGGTATACTTTTGAGTCGATTCCGAGATAGCAACCTTGGTCACAGTGCTTTGGATTGTGACAGATTTGGTCGATTCAGTGGCCAGACTGCCCAATGTTGAGTCCCCCGCCGAATCAGTATCAGTGGCAAGACCCTCAGTAGAAAGTTCAGATGAGTTCTGTTGTGGGATGACTGTGATTGTCGTGGTTTCGTCTGCAGTCATGGGAACAGTTAAAGATGAAAGGCTTGATGTAATACCACTTGAAGAACTGGGGGCGACTGTCACTGTAACATTAAGCATCCTTGTTGTCGTTGTTGTCAACCCAGCCTTCGTTACGCTACTCTCGAGGCGAGAAGCAAGCTCCGTTGTAGTGAAGTCACCTGAAACTTCAGCACTCGACACTGCTTGTGTGTGAGAGACGCTCTCAGTGATCGTCTTTGTTTCGTTAAAGAAAACAGAGACTGCGGCAGATGAGGCAGAATCTGAAGGAAATCCAGTTTCCGTCCCGGGTGATGAGGTACCCGCGGAGGGGTAAGTGCCAGTCAACGAGGAGTTAGAAATAGTAGAAACTTGACCAAGTGGAATTGAGGAAGCTTTATCACCAGAAGTTTCAGTCCCAAGGAAAGAGCCCGAAGCTGTTAGGTGAACACTCGACAATGCCTCGGAGCCGGATGTACTACCAGCCTTTGCGCTTGAGCCAACAGTTATCATGGCAGTGCCGGTCTCGA